GGAAAAAAAAAAAAAAAAAAAAAAAAAAACCAAGATCAGGAAGCAACCTTCTATATAAGGCATTCCAAAGCCAAACAAAAGGGAATTACTCACTGCCAAGGCCCTCTCATCCACCCATTGGACTCGGCCTAAGAAAGGCATCTAGACAGGAGCCAGGAGGCCTGGGTTCAAATCCCTATAGGGACACGTCACTTCTCACCTAGACCTCGGTCTGCTCCTCTCAAAACACTCGCTATACCAACATCATCTTTGAAGGTTAGCGTGTTCTTATCTGCTGTAGATCTAAGACCTCTCACTGTTCTAAAGGGTCTCGCCGGGAACTGAGCACCTCTCAAACTCACCCTGCATTCCTCCCTCCCCACCTCAACAGCATCATCACTCCCCCCACCCCTTCCAATTCGGAAAGGGAGCTCAGCCTCCACCCCTCTCTGTCCTCCCAGCCACCCGGCTCCACCCGGCTCCACCCTGTACCCGTAGGCACCTACCTGGCTCAGAGCCAGCAGATACCAGCTCCTCCTCCATCTCCCGGGGAGGTGGGGAAGCCATGGCCGTGCCTTCCCTGAAAACAGACACTTTCATCACATTCGGCAGAACCTGCACAAGAATTGAGAAGCGGAGGGTGTGAGCCTGGGCAGCCAAAGACCCAGGAAGCAAGAGCGAGGAGGAGAGAAGGTTGGGTGTTGGCAGTAGGCTTGGCCAAGGGAAGCCTGCTACTTCCAGCAGAGGCAGAGTGTGGGACAGGAAGAGGGAACTTCAGAGCAGGGCAGGAGGTCAAGGGAGGTCCCCAGCAGTGTATCCTCAACTCCTCCCACATCATTCTCTAACTCTGGTCTCCCAGCCCCAAAGTCCTGGAGCTTCAGGGAGCTACCTACTCTTCCCTCCCCTGCTGAGCTCTCCAAGACACCCCGCTTACTGTTCCCAGGGCCCCCGTTGGGGGCAGCAGCCTGTTCCAGGTGTCTACCCAGGGCAGAGCAAGAGGGCAGACCAGAGTCTGAAGCCTTCGTGAAGATTCAAGGGAGACGGGAAAAACCCGCTCCTCCCCAACCTGGGGCTCCACCCCACAGCCTGCCTTCCCTTTCCCGCTCACCCTCCTTCCTTCTCTCCCTCCCTCCCTCCTTCAGCTGGGAGTGGTTCCCTCTTCCCCACTTCCTCCTCCTCCTTCCACATCCCAGCCCCGCTCCCCGCCTCCCTCAGAGCAGTCTCATCCAAACACGGAAAAATAAGGAATAAGAAGTAAACATCTGGAATACATTTTTTTCCCCTTTAATTTCTCAATTGCTTTGGCTTCAGTACGGAATTTGATGAGGTAAAAGCCAGGGCCTAGTCCTGTTGCCATAGCAATGGCCTCCCACTGGATTTCCAGAGCCGCGCCAAGAGGAAGGAGGAGCCGGCCGGGCTCGGCTGGGAGAATGGGACAGGGCTTGAGAACATCCGGTCGTGGGGTGGCCTGGGGAGAAAAGACTCCCTGGGGTTTCCCCTTCGAGGACAGTCCGGGTAGGACAGCCACAGTCTAAGCACTGGTGACACTTGGGTGGCCCTCACTGGCCTACGATTGGCCGGAGGGGTTGTGAGGGGCAGAAGAAAATGTTGAACCAAGTGACACGGCCCTAGGGAAGTCATAGGGGGTCCCTCGTCTGAGCCTGTACCGGGAGGGAGATCGGGGTCTGATTCAGTGCTGGGTGGGTCTGCCACTTTCTAGCTGTGTGCCCTCAGGCACAGTGCTTACTGCTCTAGGCCTCGGTTTCCCTCGCTGAAAAGTGGAGTTAGTGTGACTGTTGGGAGACTTACTGGGAAAAGATGCAAATTGCTGAGCATGCCTGGCACATAGTAAGCACCCAATAACATTGGCCATTATGAAAACAATGATCCTCAGTGTCACCCAGCTTTGGTAACCACCTCCTCCTCTCCCCAGACCACTCCTTCACTCCCCCAGGGCCCAGTCATGTCACCTGTGCTTCAGACACTTCACCACCTCCTCAGTTCTCATCCTGGCTCCCGAAGCATCATCCCATCCACAACACCCTCCCCCCAGTTCCTCCCTCTAGTTCCCAACACACGGTATGCACAGAGCCTCGCCCCTCCCTTCCCCCCCCAGGAAAAACTAACCCTCTCCAAACTGCCATGGGCACAGCCTTCCTCAGAGCCACCCACTCCTAATAAGAGGAACACAGCACCCAATCCAGAAAAGGGCCCTCTCACGCCCACCCACCCCTCACCTTTGACCCTGCCCCAACTTGTTTCAAAGATGGGAGGGAGTCGAGAGAAGAGGGTAGAGAGAAACCCACGATTGTCAATCCCCTTGGTCAGCCAACTTGCACGGTGCACTCACTGCTCACTCTACGGGTGGGTGAGTAACTATGCAGAGCCAGGACAAGCGTGCATGGGGGAGGGGCCGGTGAAAGGAAAAATAAAATTAAAACACACGATTGTTTCCTTGTCCTTGAACGTTGTTACAAGGAACACGGTGTGGGCGATTAGCCATGGAGACAAACGGGCCCAGAAGCCAAACACTCTTTCACCTGGGGCCTGATGGGGCACCTCTGCAGGGTGAGCGCGCAGCAATGAAGTGGGGGCTCGCCCGGCTTCCCCAGCTGAGGAGATCCCACCCACCGCAGCCCCAAGGCCCCAGGCGGGGGGAGCCCGGGTGCCAAAGCCCCGGCTGCAGAATCACAGCGGCTCTGAGCACTCCCCAACCCAGGAATCAGGGGCTGCCAACAAGGGCTGCGGGGAGAGACAGGCCCGGCAGTCGCAGCCGGGGCAGGAGCCCAAAGAGACTTCGGCCCCTATGGACCCTAGGATCTCTGCAGGGATCCAGACCCAGACAGGTCGGCAGGGATCGCACAGAAACTGCTGGAGGAGGGAAGGAGGGAGGGAGGGAGGGCCAGCGGAAGACGGAACAGCCAGGGTGAGGGGCGGTCTGGAGAGGCCCAGTGGGAAAGCTGGGGACAGAGGGGACGGCAGCAGCCGCCGGGGAGGAGGAGGAGGAGGAGGAGGAGGGGGGCCGCGGGGGCGGGGGCAGCGGGAGCGGAAGATCAGTGCGCGGGACGCGAAGCAGCCGGCGAAGAGACGACGGACCGAGGAGGACACAGGCGGGGTGGGGGCGGGCTGGGGTGGCCGGGGGCGTGCCGAGGGGGGACCCGGGGGGAGGGGGCTAGCGCGGATCCGGGAGAAGGGGGAGGGAGGGGTCCCTCTAACAACAGCTCCGCCTACCCCCCACCCCGGCCCCGCCTCTAGTCCTCGCCCCTTCCCCCCTTTCTTCTGGCTCAGCCGCCAGCACGAGCCGCGGGCCGTGCACCCTCCGCCCCCGCGCACACCGGCCCGCTCTCACGTGCCCGGCGCCTCCTCCGCGCCCCTGGCCCCTGCAAACTTTCCTGCTCGCCGCCCGCCGCCCCCCCCAACCCAACTCCACCTCACCCTAAGGTCCAGGCTGGAAAGCGCCCACTCCTTCCATGCCGCTCCCCCGCCCCCAGCCCGGGACCCGCCCCCTCCCGCGCCCTCCCGCCGGCCCCCGCGCACTCACGCGCTCCCCCGGGATCCGGCTCCGCTCGGCTCGGGCTGGGCGCCCCGACGCCACTCTCCGCCGCCGCAGCCGCCGTCACCGCCAACCAAGCCAGAACCAGCCGCCGGGGCCACGCCCCCGGCCACGCCCAGTGCCACGCCCCCGGGGCGCCTCATGAATATCCATGAGCCAATGGAAATCCGGCGTGGAAAGCCCGTGCGGGGCTCGGCCGGCCGTATGCAAATAGACACTCAATTATTCATGAGCCCCGCCAATGAGGGCCCCGCCCCAGGGTCCTGACCCGGGTGAAACTGACGCAACTCGCCGCTAATAGCGTTCGGGCAAAATGGCCACCGAGAGGACGGCCTAGAGAGGAGACGCCCGCCGGGGGACGGCGGCGCGGACCGCGGGCCCCGCGGCCGAACGGATGGCAGCACCATAGAGTCCCGGCGAGGAAGAAGGTAACCGCGGGCCGACCCGGAGGAGGCTCCCGTGGTCACACCTGGGAGCCGATGCCACGTGGCCGACCCACGTGGTGTGCAAATGCAGATTGAGAGCCACCGGGAGGAAAGCTGGAAGCTGTTATTTTCCTCACTGATCTCCTGTTACACCCGCTCCCTAGATACAGATCCTTCCGACTCATCGTTGGGTGCACCCCTTTTCCTCCACCTTTCCTGCACCCCTTCAGACCGTAACCCACCCCCACCCCGCTGATCCCAACGGTCCAGGCTCAGGTTTCCACTCTCCCGATGGCAGAGGCTGGTCAATCCTGATTCCATTAACTCAAGCTTGGAAGACCCTGCCTCCTAGGTGATTAAGGATGGAGCCAGGAGCCGCCTCCCCTCAGCGTGGCTAATGGAGTGGAACTGTGAGAGAGGCTTCCTAATCAGATCAGCTCTCATTTCTAGACTCTCCGGTGGCCCATCCCGGCAGAAGAGGGTGAAAACCAATGCTTGTCCAGCCGGGAACAGAACAGGATGTACCTGAAGACCTGATTCCCGGCTGGCCAGCAGGGCCCTGCCCAGTCAGGGCGGTGTGGTAAACAACAGTGAGAGCAATACAACAGGGCTACAGAGAAGGCACAGGACATGGTTTCCAAAGTCAGTTCCCTTTATTAAATGATTTTTTTTCACAGACCAGAAATACAAAATAAAAGTAGAAATAGGCCCCAGGTAGAAGCTACAGGCCTGATCTCACATGACCCCTGTGGCAGCAACTTGAACAGGACAAGCAGCTATATCCCTAAGATCGGGAAAGGAGGACATGAGTTTGAACCCAGCACTGCCCTGCCTCCCACCCAATCTCTCCCCAGACTATGAAGAGCCATCCTTGAGAAGCAACAGGGGAGTAAGACACCTCCCGCTGTCCCAGTGAAGTGCATCAGAGAGCTTGTTCTGATGGCACAGGCTACATTTTCATATGAGAAACTGGTACAAAAACGTGGATTAGGAGGCTGGAGTGGTGACAGGACAAGCCCAAGGAGAGAGAATTTTCCTCCTCTCTACTCATCAGATCCGGACGCAGAGTCTTCTGAGCTGGGGGGAGTGCTGGCTAGTTCCTCTTCTTCCGAGTCCTGGAAAACCAAATGTCTCTTAAGGGCAAAGGCAGAATCCCAGTAGCTCTCCTAGCACTTTTCAGTGGTGAAGGGCCCCCATTCCCTATCCCCATCCCTAAACCCCAACACCAGCCTTCAGAACCCCAGAATTCCTCCTGTGGACCAGCCACAAACCTCAGCCCAGAAACATCTGCCACCTCCCACCCCAAACTCAGATGCCCGTCTCTGCCGGGCCCCCTGCCCCCAAACTGCAGCCGCACCTCACTCCGCCTTCTCTTCTTTTTGCTCTTGTTCTCTCCTGAAGAGCTCTCATCACTGGACACAAACTCTTTGCTCTTGAAGCTCTCACTGAGCGGCCTTGATGATGATGACTTGGATGATGAGCTCCTAGAGGGTGTTGACTTCTTTTCCATCTTTACCTTTACTTTCTTCTTCTTCTTTGACTTGTCCCTACATTAGCAAGAGGGAAAGGGGCTGGGTCTTCAGGCTCATCAAGGCCAAACCTCCCCCCCAGCTTTCACAGGGCCCCTCTAGGTCCCAGCCAAACTGCACTATAATTGTCAACAGCCGGCCATGTGAGCCCCGAGTGCCCAAGGAAAAGCAGAAGACTTAGGGGTCATGACCTGGATGCAGGCAAAACTTATTTATACTGATTTGACAGCTCTTGCTTTATCTTTAAAAACTAATTCACATGGCCGAAACCGGTTTGGCTCAGTGGATAGAGCGTCGGCCTGCGGGCTGGAAGGTCACAGGTTCAATTCCAGTCAAGGGCATGTACCTTGGTTGCAGGCACATCCCCAGTGGGGTGTGTGCAAGAGGCAGCTGATCAATGATTCTCTCTCATCGATGTTTCTAACTCTCTATCCCTCTCCCTTTCTCTCTGTAAAAAATCAATATATATATATATATTTTTAAAAAGCTAATTCACATGAATGATGTCTATAATAACATGTATTTAAATATCCCATATCTTCATAGAAAATTGACCCTTTAGGAAAATGGGCCATATTCATCCAGTGATGAGGAATTCCCTAGCACATTACCCATACTTGGGCAACTGCCTACCCAAATTTGAGAAGCACTGCCATATTGCAGTCAGAGGCATCTCTATTCCCTTTAGCACCCTAATTCTCAACTTGGACCTGCAAAAACATTTGCCAAAAAAAGTAATTACTGGGCCATTCTGTTCCCAACACTCACCTCTTAGAAGACTCACCCCTGCCCCCATCATATTCTTTCATGGCTTTTTCATATTCCCTCCTGGCATCCTCAGCTTTGCGATCCCACTCCTGACACAAACACACACACACACACACACACACACACACACACACACACACACCATGGGAGGGGGGCAGAGAGAGAACAGAGAATGAGATTCCTTCCCTGATGCAGGCAGAACCCTTACAGGAAAGTTCTGCCAATAGCCCCTATCCGCCCCCCTCTCAATTACATGATTCACCACCCCTCATCTCTGCGGCTACTCACCTCTTTCTTCTCCTTGGACATTGCCTTCCAGATCTCACCCGCCTTCTTGGACAGATCAGTGATACTGATGCCGGGATGGTCGGACTTGATCTTCTCTCGGCTGGCATTGAGCCACAGCATGTAGGCAGACATGGGCCTCTTGGGGGCATTGGGGTCTTTGCCCTTCTTCACCTGCATAACCACCCAATGCCTTCAGTCACCTATATCCTACAGACCCCCTACATTCTCCCCAAAATATTACTTGGGTCACCTACCTGGGGACAAAATGGAGAAAGGACTAAACAGCATCACACTACACTGAGAGCTCTCTTAAGGACGGGGACCATGTCTTCCTCCCCTCTGCACCCCAGTGCCCAGCTCATTAGGGGCCCCTTCCTTGGGTTTCCTGGAACAAGTAAAGCCTGTTTCCTATTCAGATATCCCAGAAGCTAATTATGTTAAGGACCAGAGAGGAACATTTCCAAGATACTCCTCGAGGCCGAAATCACGGGCTACAAAAAGCAGCCCCCGGAGAACTAATCGACAGGCCCCCCTTGTGGTGACAGAAGTCAGAGAGCGGCCACCCAGCACCCTCCCGTTCGGGAGAGAGGCCGCACCTCCATAGGCTTCTTGCGGCTCTTGCGATCCTTGGCCATCTTGGCCTTTTTAAGCTGCTTCCTTTTCTTCTCATCCCGGTCACTGTCGCCTTCGTTACTGGAGGAGCTGGCAGAGGCGTTGCTGTCAAACCTGCCAAGGAGAGTGGGGCTGGGACTCAGGGAGAGAAGACGGACCCCCGTGGCCCCAGATCAAGAAGAATGTAAGTGCCAAGACACCTGCTGAGGAAGGAGTATGGGAGGACCACACAGCCTCCACCACCATCTCCAACTCTGCTCCCTCCCCTTCGCCGAGGTGGCTTCCACCCCCACCTCTCCAGGCCCAGCCACAGCCACAGGATATCTATCTGGTGACTCAATCAAAGGAAAGCACATGGGCCAAACCGGTTTGGCTCAATGGATAGAGCGTCGGCTTGGGGACTGAAGGGTCCCGGGTTCGATTCCAGTCGGGCATGTACCTTGGTTGCAGGCACATCTCCGGTAGGGGGTGTGCAGGAGGCAGCTGGTCGATGACTCTCTCGTCGATGTTTCTAACTCGCTATCTCTCTCCCTTCCTCTCTGTACAAAATCAATAAATTAAAAAAAAAAAAAAAAAAAAAAAAAAAAAAAAAAAGGAAAGCACATGGGCTTCAGCTGCTCTCCTTGGTCACAGCCTAACCCAAGTCCCACTCCATCCCCAACCTCCCGAGGATAGGAATTCTGTCTCATCAACATGCCCCCAGTCCACTTCACCACTTCCTTTGAGGTACTCATCTTAATCGACCCTGTAGTCTCTCTAGTAAAGAGATAATTACTAGAAAAAGTGGGGGAAGCTGGGACCGGTTTGGCTCAATGGATAGAGCGTCGGCTTGGGGACTGAAGGGTCCCAGGTTCGATTCTGGTCAAGGGCATGTACCTTGGTTGCGGGCATATCCCCAGGGGGGGGGGTGCAAGAGGCAGCTGTCGATGACTCTCTCTCATCGATGTTTCTAACTCTCTATCTCCCTCCCTTCCTCTCTGTATAAAATCAATAAAATATATTTAAAAAAAAAAAAAAGAAAAGTGGGGGAAATCAGCTCCGACCTAACCCTGTACATACCCTTGTAACTAGCAGTCCTATCCGATACACACAGAACACTGCAGAAGAGAGAACCACCTATACTTGCATAGGGCTGAAGTTTTCAAGGCATTTTCATGAACCTTTTCTCAATGACACACTACAAACAAGCATGTGGCAGGCACGGGTAGTGGGCTACTATAGACTTTCTTTTCTATTTCTCCCCAATTCTCCTGGATTAAGAGTCCCCATTTTCCGTTGGGAACCACTGTGCCGCCATTCAGGACAGGCTCACCCAACCGCAGGCACTAAGGGTGGGTGCATGGCCTAGTTCTGGCCCGTCAGAGCACATGCTCATAACTCAGGGTCAGAAGGGCCACGTAACCACCCTGTTCACGGCTGCCTCAGAGCAGAGGTACTCCAGGCGTTAAGGCAGTTGGACTAAGCCTGCCCAGAGCTTCTGAGGGTCACTTGGCACTGCCCGGGGCAAACAAACCTATCTAAAATAAGGAAATCAGCTCCAGCTAGTTTGGCTCACTGGATAGAGCACTGGCCTGTAGACTGAAGGGTCACAAGTTTGATTCCAATCAAGGGCACATGCCTGGGTTGTGGGCTCGATCCCCAATAAAGGGCATGCAGGAGGCAGCTGATCAATGATTCTTTTTCATCATTGATATTACTATCTCTCCCTCCCTTCCTCTCTGAAATCAATAAAAATATGGAAATCCCTATTTTTTGTCAATGCAAAAAAACTTAACATCAAAAACTGAGGATTGAAACACATTTCCCACAACTTCTGAGCAACTTGGTCCAGGTGCCTGAAGCCAATATTCTCCCTCAGCAAGAACTCACAAAATCCCCTTTCATGCTACAGTCGGTTTGTAACATATTTCTGACACTGGCAATCAAAAGTCTTTACTTTTGATTGAGGGCATTACTGCCATTTCACAGGTGGAAAAGCTGAGATTCAATGACCTAAGGACTCCTGGCTCGTAAGTGGGAGCACTGGCTGAGTCTCAGCATAGCCTCTCCCACACACTGTTCTGGCTTCACAACATGCCTAGCATTTCCACCTTACAATTTTCCTTTCTTCTTCTTCTTCACATATATGTGTGTGTGTGTGTGTGTGTGTGTGTGTGTGTGTGTGACATACATATGACATACAAATATATATTTGTTGATTTCAGAGAGGGAGAGGGAGAGAGAGAAACATCAATGAGAAGAGAGAATCATTGATCAGCTGCCTTCTGCACACCCCCCACTTGGGATCGAGCCCACAATCCAGGCATATGCCCTTGATGGAAACTGAACCCGGGACCTTTCACTCTATCCACTGAGCCAAACCTGCTAGGGCTACACTTGACCATTTTCAAAGCATCATCTCCATCTATCATCTCATTGAAGGTCATTTTCTACCCTGGATCAGTAACTTATGGGAGGACGAAAGAAACGGCCAGAAACCTCTGGTCCCTTTAAGCTCACAAGCCACCCCCAAGAGGTGGACCCAAAACTCACTCCTCTGCCACGTCCTCCTCCTCTTCACCTGGGTTGAAAGACTCATCTGAAAAGGAACACAGGGTTCGTCAGTTTTGCCCCATGGAAATCCCCTCCCCTGACCCAGTCACCGGCTCTGGCTGGAAGTCTGACAGCCCACGCCCCGGCACCGCCAAGGCGAGCCCACCCGTTTCTTCGCCCGAGTCATCGCTGCTGTCGTTGGCATTCTCCTCCCGGATCTTGCCCTCCTCCTTCATCCGCTCCAAGTAGGCATCGTGCTGATCTTCATCAGAGTCAGCATAGTCATCGTAGCTGGGGTTCATGCCCTAGGCAGGGAAGAGGTGGGAGTAAGGGCCCCTCGCCCAGGTGCCAGAAGCCCTGCACACTCAAGAGCACGCCCCCATGCCTGTAAGATCAGAGCAACAGCCCCCAGCAGGGGCTGAATTGTCCACACACAGCCAGCGTGCAGGGCCTATGCCCCGAGAAATTCCTGCCAACTGGGTTAGTCCAAGCTCCTCCCTCTCCCAGCCCCACTGGGGGCTCCTGGGGGCGGCAGAAACCAATCTAAGGTCATGCGAGGAAACCTGCATCAGGAGGGGGAAGGGCCACACGCACCTCTTTCTTCTATAAGGGTAAGAAAAGAAGGGAGAGTGAAAAAAAGCTGGAAGAATCCCTTCCCCTTTCCCCACCACAGAAAGGACGGGAGAGGCTCAGCCTTTCCACACACAGTGGTACCTCTTTCAATCCTCGGTTTTTGATGTTGAGTTTTTTTGCGTTGACAAAATCGAACAGCTTCCCATACTCCTCCCTATGGGGGGTGATGCACAGTTACCAGACAGGCAGGGCCAACGAAAGGAGGACTACACACGTGTTCGGACACCATGGACCAGGACAGACTGTGAGGCCTGGAGCTCTTGACCATGTTATCTAACCCAACAGCTCGGAGACCCTCAGAGGACAGAGGAAAGAGTCTGACACTAGTCTTGAAAGAGGAACCTGTACAGCTCTCCAGAGCGCTGAGGAAGAAAAGGTGGGGAGGGATGCACCGAGTAGTGGGGAAGGATGCCAGAGGAAGGGTGTCAGCTTCTGACCGGTCTATATTTCATGCTTCACCGTTGTTATGAGGATCAAGTGTGAAACAGCAAGCACTCGATAAACATTAGCTGCTGTGTTCTCGGACACCGAACTCATTCCAGGAAAGGGAAAGATAGCATTTCCATCATGAGGGGAGTGGAGGAGGAGAGGGCAAGAGCTTTAGTAATGTGGGAAACAAGATTGTTAAGAACAGAAAAAAAGACACAAAACCAATGCAAAGGCTTCTAAAGGCTGAGCACTTCAAGGAGAACCAAATCCCAGGGAAGCAAAAGAAAAGGCATGAAGTCAGGGACAAGTCACAGGCCAACGGGGAGGGGGGGGGGGGGGGGGGGTGTCCCAGTCAAGGCTGGGTAAGGAACAGGACACCCAGGAAGGGACTGGCAGGGGCTCTCACCTCTCAATGCTGCTGAAGGTATACTGAGTGCCCTGCTTGGTCTCAATTTCAAAGTCAAAGGAGCGTGTGGTGGTGGTGCCACGGGCAAAGTTGACGAAGGAGATCTCATCGAAGCGGATGTGCACCGGTGGCTTGTGGACGTAGATGAAGCCCCGCTCCAGCGGGTACAGCAGCCCTGAGCTCGCCTTGTAGGAGCAGGTGATACACTGGGCCCCGGAGTGCCTGGCCGAGGGCGCAGGGAGCCCCGTCAGAGCCTGAGGCAGCAGGTTAAACAGAGCCACAGAGTACATCTCTCGGGAGTGCATCTGCTCAGGCCCTCACGTGAGTGAACCTCACAAAGCCGCTCTAATGGAGGCGACTGACACCATCAAGATATGGCCCAACCAGGCTACTGCGCTCCCATCCCAGGACGGGCTTACCCAGGAGACCTGGCACAGCCCATCCCCCACAGCCCAGGACCCGGGCCTGCATGCTCACCCTTGGAAGTTGCCCGGAACTGTGATCTTGCGGTTCACCAGTGCCTTCATGACCCGGCTGACCATCTCATAGAGGGATCCCGACATGTTCTTGGTGAGCCGCCCCTCAAAGCGCTTCTCCACCTCCTCCCTGCAAACAGGGGAAGGTGAGATCACGAGCACAGCGGCCTCCTAGGGCGCACCCATCTCCTGCAGACAGGGCAGGCATGAAGGAGCACTCACTCATTCATGTTGAGAGTCAAGGAGATGTCCTCATCCTTGGAGAAGAGTAGGATCAGGAAGTGGTAACGGGTCTGGCCTTGCTTGATGGGGGGATCCAGGCTGATCTGGTAAGGAAGAGCCAACAAGGCTCAGCACCAGTCGAAGCCCCACGAGAACTAAGCCCCAGTGAAGTCCATGTGCCAGACCCGGGCACAAACCAGGCCAATCCACTCCCAGGGATTTCCGCTCACCACAAAGAACATCTGGCGCTGGTCCTTGTGGGGCAGCAGGAAGAGGCGCAGCACCGTGGTGTAGGGGATCTTGTAGTCGAAGGTCTTGCCGTGCAGATGCAGAAACGTGGGGTAGATCCTAATGTCGTACCGTCCTCGGGGCGTCAGACACTGCAGCTCCCGGAAGATACAGATGGCGTCTCCCGTGGCCTGGATCACGTCCGCCTTAGACAGCACGTTCTGGGCGAAGGCCTGGAAAGCACACGCTGGTAATGGAGCAGCAGGTCCTGTTCCCGGGCCGGCCAGGCCTGCTCGGTACCATCTGCCCCCAAGGGGACCAGGGGAGGCCTCACCTCAACTGGGTCCACGCCATCCTCTTGGGTGGGGGGCACATAGAAGCGCACCTCCATGAGCGAGACCTCTGCATCATCGTTCTGGTGGAACTCCAGCGTCACCTCGTTCTTGCCTGTGGTGCACTGGGACACGTTGCTGAGGGGTATCTCGAAGACCGGCTGGTCGCCAATGTCAAAGGAAAGCAGTTGCCCTGTGGGAGAAGGGCTGTCAAGCCACAGCTCCTCCCCCTCGAGTCTGCACAAACCACGTTCCCACCAGACACAAGTTCCCTGAGGACAGGGCTACTCTGCTCTCACGGTACCCACAAGACCGGGCACAGTGGTCCTTGATAAAAACACCCGGTGAATTACAAACTGAGAGGAAATCAGAGACAGTGACAGAAAGAGTGAAACAAGTTAATGGCTGCCACCCTTCATCCTGCCTTCTCCCCAATCCTCAACCTGGCCCAGGACTCACCACCAAACTTCACCGTTCCCCAGTTCCAGCCCTTCACACAGAGGTCCTTCTCCATTAGCTCAAGGCGATAGTGAGTTTTGAAGAAATCAGAGAGTTTCTCAAACTCCTGTGGGGGGGAGCGGAGAGAACAATCCCAGTAACACGCATGGTTTCAACACAAGCGTGAACATTCTGGAATTATCTATTTCTGAGACATTGCCCCAATATACCTTTTATCAGAAATCCATGCTGACTTAGAATCTCAGCTATAAAACACTGTAAGAGGTTGTTTCTGGGGACTGGATCTCTGGGAGGGGAAGAGTAGAGGAAGGAACTGACAGCTCGTGGTTATAGGCCTCACAGTGCTATCTCTGTGCAGATATCGCTTTAATGAAAGTGAACATGAAAATAAAGTCTTCGACTCAGGCAGTTCAAAATGGAAAAAACAAAACTTGAACTAACGCATCAAACTAAGACTCTGCAGCTGGATAAAGGCAACAAGCAGAAACAAAAACAAAAAAACAAAAACAAAAAACGGCAGAAAATCCTCTGGAAGTCAAGGCACAAAGACACTCTAGACTCTGACACCCAAAGCTGAACACTAATTGCGTGGTGGCCTCAATGGCCCTGCTCTACGGAGCTCAAACCAGCAACTGCGTGGCTACCACGGGAAGGAGACCCAACTGTCTCTAGAAGATTAAAGATGAAACAAGATGGCACCATAAGAGGGGAGTTTGTGGCAAGAGGACACCTCACCGATTCTCGGAAGCCGTCATACTTGTAGACGTGGCCGTTCTTTGTGAGCAGTTTCAGTCCGTGGCCCAGAGCCACTCGGCGCCAGATGCCTTCCGTCAGCTCCCCGGCCTGGATGTTGTCCACTTTGCCCGTCTTACTGTTCTTGAAGATGATGCCTTGGCGGCTCAACCTCAGCCGACCATCATTCTGTTGGAAAAAAATGGGTCCAAAGGCCATCATTCTAGGCTGGCCAGTTATCAATCCAGAGGCAACAGCTGAAGTGGCGGGGGCCAGCACCAAAGGGACACGGAGCCAGGAAGCCCGGATTCTAATCCTGGTTCCGGCATCCAGAGCCCTTGCAGGTCCTCAGTTTCAGGATTCTGCAATGAACAGCAAGAGTGGTCCCTTCAAACTGTAACTCATGCACTTTCTCACTGTCAGCTTTTGTTGGGGCAACACCAAGTACATGACACTCTGACTCCTTTTCCAAAGTAGCCACACGATCCAAGCAATCTCTTTCGAACGGGCAGAAAGTCTGCTCCGCTCCCGCTTCCGCTTCCGCTTCCACTTCCGCTTTCGCTTCCCCACCTCTATCAAAAGCGCAAGCCCTTCTTACCATGGAGCCTTTCACCTCCTGGTAGATGTCGTTGAATTCCAGTGTTTCCGCCATGCTAACTGCCCCTTTTGGCCTCCACCGGCAGCTGGGCCCCAAGCCCTGGGTAGGTGTGCAGATCCTCACTCAGCAGGCTGGAAATCTGAATTCAAGAGGGAGACACCTGAGCAGGAAAGCCAACACCTCACTCTGCCCACCGGAAGGGGCCAGGTGGCAACCCATGACTGTGCCTGCGGCGATGTCGAGGCTCTTCTCTGCCTGAGAGCCTTCCGGTGTGAGCTCCGCAGACCTCGAGGGGGCCAGACCCAGCCCCGATCAGAGAACTGGGGCCCGGAGTTGGCACTTACACCCCAACCGGACAGGGCGCTCCACCGGGCGTCATGGCAACGAGCAGCGGTACCCCAGGGCCAGCCGGAGCCCGCACTCCGCCCGCGCCCAAATTCAGCTCAGGATGCAGGTTTCCCCTCCCTCCCTTCCTCCCTCCCAACAACTGCAAGCGTTCCCACCGGATCGCGGCCCCAGACCCGGGTCCGCACCCCCCCTCCGCCTCCCCGCAAAGTGGGTTCGCCCGCCGCCCGCAGATTCGAACGCGGGACGGCCCATCTGGAGTGTTCCGCGAGGGGGGGAGGGGGGAGCAGGACTCGACCCTCCTGGGGCACGGGGACGGCCACCACCCACCTCCTCTGGCTGCTGTAGGACTCGCGGCGGCCCGGGTGCGGGCGGTGGGCGCGCAGAGGGACGCGGGGGGAGGGGGCGGGGACACGGGTGGCGGAGGGGGGGGGGGTACCCTGGGGAAGCTTTTCCCGCGTGCGCCGCCCAGCGTCCCGCCACCGGAAGCTGACTCCGGACCATAGAGAGGACGGGCCGGCTAGAGAGGCGTAGATCGCGTAGAGCGTCGGCGGACCCGGAGGACCCGAGCGCATCCCGGCGGCGAGGAAGTCCCGTGCGCCCGCGTGGCGTCGGACGAGGAAGCGGGACCGCGCTTAGGGCCGCTTTGACAATGACAGGCACCGCCTTGGGGGAAGGACTGGGTTCTAAAGAGAAAATGTGTAGGTTTCCTACAGCGGACTTAGCACAGGTGCGTGTGTGCGAGGGATATGGGTCCCTCTCTTCTGCACAATAAGTGGTTTCTGCGGAGTGGGGAGAAGTCTGTGGGGCCAGAAGAGAAGAACTGGTTAGGGTGGTGGAGGGAAAGGACCCCTCCCGCTGGCTGCGAGGAGAATGCGGGGGGGGGGGGGGGGGGGAGGGTGTGGTGTCGGCGGGCGTGACTGCCCCCGCTCTCCCCTGGGTCACATGGGACTGGATCCCTTTGGAGATGAGTTCACCGTGTCTGTGCCCAAAAAACCTCACGTCTCTAACCACAATGTATGGATCGCCCGGAAGAGGCTGGTGTCAAGTTCAAGTGCTGGCGTCAGATTCACCTCGGAGCCAAAACGAATTTGAAACCGCATCAGCCTGAGAGTGCGGAAACCGTAGCCCTTAGGATGCATCTTGAAACTCAAAGGGGGCCAGAACCTGGAAGACACGTTTGAGTTTGTCTATGCCAGCCTCCTTTTGCCAGTGGGGAGACTGAGGCCCAAAGAGGAGTGGGGCCAGGGTCTCGGTGAGTTGGGAGTAAAACCAGAGACTAGACCCCAAACCCAGTCCAGTTTTCTCCTGTCATAAGCACGTGACTGCATCCAGGTTGATTGGTAATGTGTCCTGCGTGAAGACAGGGGACAGAATATTCAAACTCAAGATTTCTCTGATTGTTGTCTCAACCCGAGGGCACGCACCATTGCTCCCTGAACTCGTGGCTTTGCCTTCTGGATAATGGCCTTTGCAGCACTAGCAACATTGTTCAACGGGATTCAATAATACATGCTGAGCTCTAGCTGGTTTGGCTCAGTGGATAGAGTCCACTGAAAGGTCCCAGGTTGGATTCCAGTCAAGGCCACATGCCCAGATTGCAGGCTCTATCCCCGGTAGGGGACATGCAGGAGGTAGCCAATCAATGATTCTCATCATTGATGTTTCTCTCTCTCTCCCTCTCTTTCTCTAAAAACAATAAAAATATATTTTTTAAAATCTCATCATTTATATTTCTATCTCTACCTTCTCCCTTCCTCTCTGGAATCAATAAAAATATATTTATAAATCAATCAATCAATCAATAAATACATATTGAGCGCCAACAGAGTTCTAGGATTTAAGGAAACTAGTGAACAAGATGGAAGCAGCACCAGGTTTCCAGGAGCATACAATCTTAATAAACGATTCAGATAAGTAAACTTACAGGGAAACAAAAACAATAACATCAAAGAAACCACTTGATAATGCTATTCTACAGGTAGAGCTTCAGCCACTGCCAACTGGAATTAGAAATGCGAGCTGTGATTTCTTACTCACTCCCTCCCGGGAGAACAAGAGAGCTGTTTGAGACCCCTCCCCTGACCCATTCTATTAGAGGCAACTATGGAAGGGGGAGGGGGCTGGCTGCAGAACTGAGTGGCTTAGGAAGACTGGAGTGAAGGGGGTACTCATCCAGGGAGGCTATTAGGTGCCTGGGGGTGGGGCATTGTGAGGGGCTTTCAGGAGAGCAGAAAGCAGCTGGTGAGCTGGGCTGAGGATGCAGCAGAGAGAACAGAACAGAAACGGTAGCCAGAGTGCAGATAAAGCATGAGTCCCAGCGGGCCCTCGCCAGCTGGATCGCAGGCAATCAGGAGCCGGGGATTGGAGACCCCACCCCTGCTGACATCACAGGGGAGTGGAGTAGAGGCGAACAAAAAGGGGTCCCCCGCCCTGGCCTTGGACTCTTGGCAGCCCAGAGTGTCAAGAGCAGAGAGAGCCTGGGCTCTGGGCTAGGGTTGCCTGACTTAAAGGAGCAGGCTTCCCATTTCACAAAGCCCCTCTAAACTGCCCTCTAGGCCTCCTTCATCCCGGTCTCCTGGTCTCAGGACCTTTGCCTCCTGAAGCCACCTCTGGGTCCCTCTGAGCGACCCATGAGCACTCTCTCAGGATGAACTGCATGTCAGATTTCTTCACCTACGAGACCACCAAGTCTGTGGTTGTGAAGAGCTGGACCATTGGGATCATCAACCGGGCGGTCCAACTTCTCATCATCTCCTACTTTGTGGGGTGAGTCTGAGGCCCTTCGGGTGCCAGGAGGGGGGGTGCTGCCCGGTGTCCTGGCCCCCTCCTCCCCTCCATGGTGTTGTCCAGCTTCCTCCGCGTCTCCTCTCCTGGGGAAACAGCCTGGTGGAGGTGTGTCTCAAGGACCGGCCTCTGCCGCCCCCATCGGGGATCAGGTCCCAAGATGAGTTCTCCCCCCAGTAAATCCCCACAGGTGGAGAGTGGTCTATGGGCACCCACCCCAAGGGGAGCCCTGGCCCTGGCACCACCCTCCACCAGGAGAGGTCCCAGGGGACCATCTCCTCTTTCCCTTCTCTCATCCCCGCCGTCAACCAGAGAACAGGCAGACCAGACCCCCTGACACATCTGCCCACCGACCTCAGTCAACTCTTTGGGGCCTCATGAAGAATAGGGGACAGAAGATACTGAAACAGGGAGATGGTAACAGCGTGATTTCGAGGTGGGAAGGAGAGAACTGCGTTCGCTTTAGAGAGAGGGGCCCCCTCCTGGCATGGGAGGGGGGAAAGGAGGTAGAAAAGGGGGAAGTCCTTGCTCTTGAAGGATCAGACAAAGCAGCGGGATCTTTCCCTTAGGAGAGGGGGAGGAGATGCACCAATAACATTCCAGGGAAGAGTTTTTTTTAGGAGAAAAGTGACTTTTCTGAATATGTGTAGTGTCCCTCTTCACGAAGCCAGAAATACTCCACTTTGTCAGAAACTGTAAATTCCCTGCTTCTATCTGACTTTGTACTGTATAACCCATCCTGGGAGATACTTAAGAGCCAGCGAGGTCTAAACCTCCGGCTCAGCTCCCACTTCTTTAGGGACCACCCCAATTCACACACACCCAGACCTACCCACACACAGACACAGAGGCAGACACACAGACATACACACTCATACACACACACAGAGATGCATACTCACACACCCAGCCATACACACTCACACAGACACATAGAGTCACACTCACACCGAGACATACACATCCACACACATGCGCGCGCGCACACACACACACACACACACACATACACACACACATGCACAAAAGGCCAAGGAGCACAGGATGGCCAGATAAGAAACATGTCTCATGCTCCTTCACACACACACACTGGCGGGCCCCAGGAAATACAGATCAAAACTCTGAGGGCTTACTTTCCTGGTGGGCAGGTCTCTAGCTCATGCTGTTCTTTGAGACAATGGGTCTGTGGGTGAGAGACAGCAAGCCACTGACGGCTGCCCTGAGTCCTTTCAAGGAAACATCCTGGGGGCGTGCAGCTGGAGCTGCGGGTGAGGGCCTCCTTGCTGTAGGTTGCAGCCGTGGGAGGGTGTGCATGGACCGGTGGGAAGACAGGGATTAAGGGACTTGGGCTCCATGGGCTTGGTGAGAGCCAGGAAGCTCCGGTCATGCAGATGTTGTAGACGAGGCAGCTCACAGGGACACCAGAGAAGGGACTCAAGCTCGGGGGTCGTATTGAGGGACCTTGACGCTCCCTTCCAAGTTTGAGGTTCTGTGAGAAGTTTGCAAATGTTTCACGTCAGCATCTCCGGAGCCTGGCTCTAAGTTGGTTCCGAAAGGTCCGTGGCCACGTGCACGCGTGATGCTGTGACTGTTTACACGTAGCCACAGGATGGTATGTGGGTCCAGGCGGGCGCCCAAAGCTGCCTCAGCATATTCCCGGCCTGGCCCCGCTCTGTTGGCTCCAGGCAAAAGATGGTGGGTAGAGGCAGCCAGCTCCTAGACATGCCTACTCAGCACCCCACTGCCCTCCGTTTGTACCTCATCATGGTTCATTCTGATGCTCCGACCACCCCCTGGTGCTGGAGCCTGGCCTGTTGGTGCCAGCACGAGATGGCGCCTTGGTATCCAACCCCATTCATCTCCCAGCCTGACAGCTCCCCCCAGAGCAGTTCCTTCCATTTGCATCTTCGTCAGGTGCACTCTGCAGCCTAGCTCTCCCCGCACCGCACCCCTCCCCCACAACCCTCGCCTGAGCCCCATCTCTGCGCACGTGAGCCCATGCACCATTAGGACTTCCTGATTTCATTAATTTAGCACAAAGCAGTGGAGTCTCTCTTTGGGCCAGGCACTGTGCACCGAGGCTGGAACAGCGGGCAAACACAGACCCGGACCTCACCCTCATGGAGGAAGGAATAGGAGATGCCTGGGGCCTGAGCTCCCATAAACACTGGCCAGTGCCCGGCCTGAGGTTGGTTTGCAAGAGATGGGCATTAATCAGATAATCTCTGCAAACAAATATAAAATTTCAACTGGGGTCCAGGGTTCAAAGAAGAGACACAGAGTGCTAAGACAGCGGTATTGGCCTTGGTCAGGAAGCTAAGGAAGGATTTCTGCACATGTGGCATTCATGCAGGACGAGTTGGAGCAACCCAGGGAAGGGAGAGAGTTCAAGGCAGAGAAGCCCAGCTCCGCCAAGGGAACGGGCCTGGCTAATGGTATCTATGGCTGGAGCGGGAGGAGCAAGGGGAGGGGAGTGTACGGAGGGGGCAGGATCCCAGGTGGACCCCAGGCCTCAGACAGCTTCGGTCTTCCCTTTTTACAGTAGAGGAATAGAAGGGAAGCTACTGAAACACTCTAGCGTGTGTGTGTGTGTCTGTGTGTGTGTGTGTGTGTGTGTGTGTGTGATTGAGAGAGATTGAGAGCAACAGACAGACATGATGAAATATGCATTGAGGAGACCACTCTGGCGGCTGATATGAGGGATTGGAGTGGATGCCGGAAAATGTGTTAACAGGGGGGCAACGGAGAGAGATGACTGTGACTTGGGCCCAATAGAATTTGAAAGGATTTGTAATGCTGTGATGTTAATGCTTAATACTCGCTTCTTCCACTGTATGCCTGTCAGGGGTAGACCAGATGCACAACCTTACCTTGGACATGTGTGCCGTGAGCCAACCATTTCTCTTAAGCACCCACAGCCACACACCTCCTATTGTCTCCACACGTGCTCCCACCCCTGCCCCGGCCTCTGTCTGTGATTGACACCACTTCACCGCAGGTTTCTTTACCTGCCCCAGGTGCACAGAGAGGCCAGGACCTGCCTGTTGTTTCTCCCACTGTCCTTCCTGGGCTGGGGGGTGCGGGGGGGTTAACCCAGTCTCCTCTATGGGGTGGGACTTCCTAAGAGCCCATCTCTTTTCTGGATCCCATGAAGACCTGAGGAGGGAACAGGAGATGCCTGGGGCCTGAGTTCCCATAAACACTGGCCAGTGCCCAGCCTGAAGTTGGTTTTTGCAAATGAGCGCTGAGGGGGATCCCAGCCCTTTGATGCTTCCGCCATGGCCATCGGAAGGACCTGTGGTGGCTGATGGTGCCTTGGCCCCATCACAGGCCTGTTCTCCCTCTCCTGTTCCTCTTCCCCCTCACCCCAACCCCGGACCCCTGCAAGGCCTGATCCACAAGCTCACTATTTGCACAGCCACCCTCTCTGCTTCATTTCAAATGAAGAGTCTGCCTCATTTCAGATCTTATGTAGAAGCACAACACAAGGCCGTTCCCATGGGGAGGCACTCTAGATCAAAAAAGGGCTGGGGCGGTCGTGTGGGGCCCACCTGCGTGTGGTGTTCCTGCGGCCGTCCTGGCCAGTTTATCAATAAATCCTTGCCTGCTTTTTTAAATTTAAAAAAAAAAAAAAAAGGGCTGGAATTCCACCTCCTCGGCCCCCACCCCATCCTCTTACCCAAGGAAGAACCCTGAGGCTCCTCGTAGAGGCACTAGGTGACAATATGGCGGGAAGACTTGTGGGAACCCCCCCTTTTTAAAAATATATTTTATTGATTTTTTTTTTTTCAGAGAAGAAGGCAGAGGGATAGAGAGTTAGAAACATCGATCAGCTGATCAGCTGCCTCCTGCACACCCCCTACTGGGGATGTGCCTGCAACCAAGGTACATGCCTTTGACCGGAACCAAACCTGGGACCCTTCAGTCCGCAGGCCGACGCTCTATCCACTGATCCAAACCGGTTAGAGCTGGAACCCCCTCTTTCAGGTTTAGAGAGAGCAGTGGTTTCATGCGTTCCCTCTCCCCTCACCGCAGCCCTATAGCGGGGAGACTGGGGGACGTGAAACACCTGCTCAGAAGCCTCCCTCTGACACTGGAGGTGGGGTCCGGACAGGTCACTTCACGCCTCCAAGTCTCAGTGGCTGAATCTGGAAAGTGGGTTTAGGAATGCCTCTCCCGGGGAGTGATGGTGAGGGGGGGTAACACGTGCCCGTCCGTTGCCTGCACTGGGTGACTCCGTAATAAATGGTAACCTCTTCATCACCGCATAGACCACCCCATCGCGCCTCCCCCTTTCCCTCCCGAGACCCCCCTCCTCCCCCACAGCACACGCTCCTCACACCCGCTCCCTGGCCTCCTCCCTGCACACCCCACCTGCCAAGGAGCTGCCGCCCGCCTTCCGCTCTATAAATAATAAACCAGGAACACAAGGAAAAAATAAGTCAGAGCCGCGGAGTCAATGCCAGGAACAAAAGGCTCGGTCCTGCCCCATCGCCTGAGCCCTGGCCTCCAGGGACCCACGCCGACCTCCGTTCTGGAAACGAAGCATCCCCGCATCTCCAGCACCCCGCTGACGCGCAGGCCCCAGAGGGCCCCTGAGATCCTTCTGCCTGTTATTTAACTCGCAGAGAGGAATCTGCTGCGGCCACTCCTCCCCAGTGGGCCCCAGAAGGCACTGGAGAAGGAGGGGCGGGGGGGGAAGGAAAGAGGCTGGTTAATGGCTCCTCCCGGCCTCTGGAGACGGCCCGCACTGGGAGATGCTTTCCCTGGAGGAGGACCAGGACCCAGTTCGGGACCCACTGTGCCCCGGGTCCTGACCCGGGACACAGCTGGAGGCCCTGTGGCAAGGCCATTGCGGGCAGTCCGCCGGGGTTGGAACCCACATACAGGCTTCCTTTTTTGTGGCGTGATGGTAACAACGACGCCGTGTGGTGGGCTGGTGGTAAAGACTCACTGAGTCCTTCACACGACGGCACTTAGCATGCTGGGCTGATTGCACCGAATGGCCAGATTGTGATGATCTCTGAACGCGTAATAATCCGGCCACTCAGTGTACTTATGTACAAGGGAAAGCTGGCAAATCTTGATGTGTCAAGGGACCAGGAGATAGTGGCCCCCACCCTCTGGCTAGTAAGTCCTCTGCTTCTAATGACCCACGAGGCAGTTCTTACACATGGAAAAGTCCTGTTTTAAAATCCCAACTCTGTGGTCACGCTACACGGAGTGGCCGGATTATCATGAGTTCTGAGATCACCATAGTCTGGCCGCTCCGTGTGTGTGCTGTTGACCCTCTGAACTGTGCTTCTGGTAGGCAAATGTTCCCAAACGTTAACCAAAGGGATGGAAGGCAAGGTGTGTGTGTGTCAGGAAACCATTTCACTAGCTCCGTGGTCAGCAAACTGCGGCCCGCGAGCCACCTGCGGCTCTTTGGCCCCTTGAGTGTGGCTCTTCCACAAAATACCATGGCCTGGGCGAGTCTATTTTGAAGAAGTGGCATTAGAAGAAGTTTAAGTTTAAAAATGTGGCTCTCAAAAGACATGTCAATCGTCGTCCTGTTGATATTTGGCTCTGTTGACTGATACGTTTGCCGACCACTGCCCTAGATCAGCGCTCAGCGACGCCTCCATCCAGTGGCCAACCACTGAGGCTCCGAGGGTACATCCGCTGTGGGCTGGGAGCAGAGAGCTGGGCTGCCACCTTGCCCTCTGCTCCCCAGCGCCCCCAGCCGGGGCAAGGATGCTCGCTTTGGACAGGTTTCTGGAAGGTGCTCCCTTCCCTCTGACTTCTCCGTGAGCCACGCTCCCTTGTGAGATCTTGGTGAGCACCCACTTCCCTCCCAAGAGGAAAAAGATGAAAGCGCCAAGGAAGCTCAGCCCCCGGCTCCCTGGACTTCCGCAGGGCGCGGTGCTCACAGAGCGTCTTATTACAAGCAAGCGGAACGGCTCTTCCTCCAGATGCGGCCGCTGTGAGGCTGTGACCATGAGACAGGTGGCAGGTTGGGCGCCCCCAACACCACCACCACCACCACCACCACCATCCCCGCCACCTTCCTCTCCCACTCAAGATGGCGCATAGGACTCAGGCCAATGACAGAGGCCTGGCAGGTGGGTTCCTCTGAACCCTCTCCCCAAAACCTGAGCAAGCAGCCACTTGCAAACAGCAGCCCGTGTTCAAATAGGCATGATGGGCAGGTGCCCATCCCACAAGTGGCCGACCCCAGCATGGCCCGGGAGCTGCAGCCCCTGGCGTCTTCCAGCATCGGGGCATTCCAGAGGCCAGCAAGCCAACCCCTTCCCGGGAGGTGGGCATCCGGATTCCTGGTGAGACTTTCCAGGCCTGTGGTGCTCACCGCCTCCCACCGCAGCCCCCAGCGCAGTGGTGAGAAAGCTCCTGGGCTTGAAGTCCTAACCCCTTGTTGTAAAGTTCTCGGGTCTCCCACGCACTGCCCTGGGTAGCCTCCAGGCCCCCAGATTTGTCTTCTCTGCCTACACCGCCTCCTGCTCCTTCCGCTCATTCTCATCTCGTACCCCCCCCCCCCCCCCCGGTGAGCATGTGAGAAATGACCCTAATCCAGCGCTCCCACAAGCACGCCCCTGGATTCCACAAGACGTCCCCACTGCCGAAACCGGTTTGGCTCAGTGGATAGAGCGTCGGCCTGCAGACTGAAAAGTCCCTGGTTCGATTCCGGTCTGGGGCATGTGCATTGGTTGCGAGCACATCCCCAGTGGAGGGTGTGCAAGAGGCAGCTGGTAGATGTTTCTCTCTCATTGACATTTCTAGCTCTCTACCCTTCTCCCTTCCTCTCTGTGGGAAAATCAATAAAACATATTAAAAACAAAACGAAAAAAGACGTCCCCACGTTTCTCCTAAACTGAGCGTGTGCGGCGTTTTCCAGACACATTGGATGAGGTTTTCTCACCTGTGCCGTGGGCCCAGCAACAGCCTCTGCCTCGCAGTGTGTCCTCAGGGACAGGTGGTACTGCGCCTCCTGCTGGAAGAGGGTCAGTGAGGCCGGGTGGCTGGAGCCTTGAGGGCAGTGGTGGGTGGTTTCTAACGGAAAGGCGGGCACCTCACAGGAACGCAGGAGGAAGCGTGGTCTGCAGGCCCTTCTTGCTGCAGGAGTCCGAGGAGATAGGTGCAGCAGGAAGAAGCCAATGCAGGTACATGTCCACTAGGTGGCAGCACAGTCCAAGGAATGCGACTAGAGGCACCTCCCTCCCAGCCCAACTCCATGCACCTGCCAGTAGAGGCTGCGCCGCGGCCCCGCCCTCCTCCGCACCTGAGGCTCGCACAGATGGAGACTCCGTCAGGTGCCCAGGTCCCCGAGCATCTTCACCGGCCTGTTCGTTGACACCTGCTGTGTGAGGGCGCTTGGGACACAGCCACGCACAAAGCCTCGATGCGGAGTCGAGGCGAGGAGCCCTGCGCCTTCTGCCCCCGGATTCCTGCCAGGGAGGAGGCCTCTGTCACCTGCAGGAACCATAATGCGCTCTCAGCGGGGTGATGTCACCCTCAAAAGGGTTCAGAATTGGTGTCTGAAGAACACACACAAAAAAATGTCTCTCTTCATATGTAAAGTGCAAATGGACATATCGTATGTAAATGGATGCGGATAGTATTAAAATTTCATGGAAGGAGGACAATTAGGGGGAAAGTCTAAAAATGCTCCTTCAGCAGGAAATGGGGGAAGCATGAAGAACAGTGGTCTAAGCCAAGTTGGGGTTCACTGTGAAGCCCCTCAGCCCCCCCCCCCACACACACACACACACAGGCCTCCCCTACCAGGCCCCTGTGGCCCGTCGGCAGGAAGGCGACCCCTCGGGCCTCCGTCTGACGGGCCCTGCTCTCTTGCTCTCCATCCCGCTCCCTGCCCAGGTGGGTTTTCCTGCACGAGAAGGCGTACCAGGTTCGGGACACGTCCATTGAGTCCTCGGTGGTAACCAAGGTGAAGGGCTTCGGACGCTACGCCAACAGAGTCATGGATGTGTCTGACTATGTGACACCACCCCAGGTATGGTCCCCCTATGGCAGGCAGGTGGCTGTATCGACGCCCAGACCCGGGCAGGTTGGCAGGGAGAACCTGTGCATACGTGGCCCAGAGCGGTGGCTGGGGGAGGGGGGAGTACCCTCCTGAGTCAGCACTGGGCATCCTCTTGCTCTGCCACAGCCTGTCCTGTGATCAGGACGACACACCAGGGAGCGTGAGGGGCCAGGGGGTGGTTGGAAGAGCCTGGCGTGGAGCCCACGTTTGCCTGGATTAACCTGTGACCTTGGCCAAGTCTCTCAGCGAGACGGCACCGTTGCCTTTCCCTCCCCATTCTTCTCCCAAGGGCACCTCCGTCTTTGTCATCATCACCAAGATGATCGTCACGGAAAACCAGATGCAAGGGTTCTGCCCCGAGGTGAGGCGGGGGAGGGAGGTTGGGGGAAGCTGGTCAGGGAAGAAGATGAGGTGGCAGGGAGGGACGTGGGGGTACGCAGAGGTCCTGCCTGGGAGCCTAGGCCTGGGACCAACCTCCACGCCCTTGAGGCCCCCGGTTATGGGGAGGCAGTGGGTGCCAAGGGACTCACCCAGGCTGGCCCAGGGCCCCTCACCCACCCGTGGACCCGTCTCCCCACAGAGCGAAGACAAGTACCGCTGTGTGTCCGACAGCCAGTGCGGGCCTGAGCGCTTCCCGAGTGGGGGTGAGTGGAGCCCCTTTCCCACCCCCTCATGACTCCATGTGGTAGTGGGACCCCCGGGGGGAGAGGGGGAGGCCAGGGGTAGGGGTGACAGCTGTGCCATGAGGTGGTGAGTGATGTCCAGGAGGAGCCAGGAGAAGGAGAGAGATGGGTGCCATTTGAGATGGGCCCTGTGGGATGGAAGGACGTGGCAGGACAGAGGGGCTTGGAAGGGGGCATTCTAGGCAGAAGGAACGGTCAGCAAAGCCTCGGAGGCAGGAGGAGCCTGCTGGGACTGGGGGCCGGGGACCTGTGAGAGGAGGGGCCAACTCCTGAGGCTGGCCTAGGGCTGGGGAGAACTCTGCGGGGCCAACGTGTCTCGGGGACCTCCCTCGCCCTCTCTGTCCCTTCTGTCCGCCTGCAGGGCCCCTGCACGTGTGTGTATTGGGGGGGCGTCTCCGATGAGGAGGGGTGGGGTGGGGGAAGGGCATGGCAAAGGGCCAGACGCGCACACAGCCCTGTGCCCGCCCTCCCAGGGATCCTCACCGGCCGCTGCGTGAACCTCAGCTCCGAGCTCCGCACCTGCGAGATCCAGGGCTGGTGCCCTGCCGAGGTGGACACGGTGGAAAGGTGAGGGCCCCCGCCCAGGCTCCCCGGTGCCCCTGTGGGGGGGGGGGGCGGCACCCCTGAGCCGGCAGGGGGTCTGGTGGGCACCCACCCTCCTGTAGTGTCCAGCTTCTCCCCAGCTCCGCTCACCGGCCACCCTCCCGTCCTCCGGCCCTCAGGCCCGGAGAGGCCCCGGACACATGCCCGCTGGGCGATGTCCCTCAGGTGAGGGCTCCAGGCTCCCCTCTCCCCTCCTTCTGTGCCCACACAGGCCTGTCATGATGGAAGCTGAGAACTTCACCATTTTCATCAAGAACAGCATCCGCTTCCCTCTCTTCAACTTTGAGAAGTGAGTCCTTGCTCCTCCCTGAAGCCAGGAGGCATCGCACCCACCCCTCGTTCTTAGAGGGGGAGAGGTGCAGGTCAGCACGGGGTTCTCCCCACTCCTTCTCCTCCCCCCGTCTCCCAGTCTCCCGGGGGCTCCTGATCCCCGTCTCCCAGCCAGGGCTCCCCGCCAGCCCTGGCCACTGAGTATCAGGTGGACTCGGGCCAGTGTCTCTGCCAGCCACCTCCTCTCCCCCCACCCTTTCCCGCCCCGCCCCGCCTGGGAGAGAGGACATTAGACATGAGTCCTCACGACCCTGGGATGGGCCAGAACAGAGGGGGGCAGGAGAAGATGCAGGGACAGAGGTGAGGTCCCCTGCCCAGGCGCGCAGCAGGGCCCTGAGGCCCGGGAAGGCTGGAGAGAACCTTGTGGGGGGAAAGCCTGTCTCCACCTTGACCCTGACCCTGGCCCCTCTCCTTTCCTCCTCCCTTCCCAGGGGGAACCTCCTTCCCAACCTGACCGCCGCCGACATAAAGACCTGCCGCTTCCACCCTGACAAGGCCCCCTTCTGCCCCATCCTGCGGGTGGGGGATGTAGTCAAGTTTGCGGGGCAGGACTTTGCCAAACTGGCCAGCACGGTGAGGACCAGCCCGCCCTTGCGCGGGACGTGGGGACCCTTCGTGGGGCGGCGATGCTGGGGAAGCGGAGCAGCAGCGAGGCAGCGCCACCTGGTGGGAGCATCCCAGGCCTGCCGCCACCTGTCCTGCGTGGTCCTGCCTCCTCACCCTTCCCGCCAAGCCCCGTTTCCCATTCCTCACCTGCACACAGACAGAGAGGCCTGGGGCACCGAACATTGGACCTGTGCCACTTTCTCCCGTGTTGTAGGTGTTTTAGGTGAGGGACTGACGACACCAAAAGCAGGATGTAGGCGCCTCGGGGGCTCACCCTGAGCTACATACTTCCTTGCTGAGCAGCATGGGATGACACGTTCTTTTTCTTTCTCCCCACCTGCGCCCTCCACGGAAGAACGCAAAGCACTCGGGTGTCTGTGGGTGATGCTCCCCACTCCCACCGGGAGGAGGCAGGCCCCCCGCGGGCTGCGGGAGAGCTCACACCCGGCCCCTTTCTGCAGGGCGGGGTCCTGGGCATCAAGATCGGCTGGGTGTGCGACCTGGACAAGGCCTGGGAGCAGTGCATCCCCAAGTACTCCTTCACCCGGCTCGACAGTGTTTCTGAAAAGAGCAGCGTCTCCCCAGGCTACAACTTCAGGTAACAGAGGCCAGGGCTTGTGCCAAAAGCTGCATCTGAAATAAGCACGTATTGGGGAGAAAAGGTCCCAGGTGTCAGGTTTCTGTTCAAAATGAGGCAGGACTTCCCAACAGGCAGCTCTCGGAGACAGACAGGCCTCCCTGTGAGATCGTGGCTCTGGGGAGGGACCACGCCAAGGATGCGTGCCGGGCGGGCGGCAGGCGGCGGTGAGGCCAGATGGCCAAGGTCTCCTGGAGTGTCGGGTGCTGTGATTCTGAGTTCGGTTTTCCATTTTTCCGCTCTGGCTCTGAGACCGGAGGTGCCCAGGCCTCACCCAGGCAGCCCCATCCCGTCTTCTGTGCCTGCGTCCTCTAAGAGTTCTTGCTCCGCAGAGCTAGGGCCATAGCTGGTATCATCTTCCGAGACGGAGATTTTGTATTTCTGCCCGGAACCAGGAAGTGTCACTGGAGGCACACGTGGCAGTTACTGTGGCCATTCGTTCCTCAGTGCCTTTTGAACAAGAATTGAAGCCAGACTCTAGCAGGATCTAACGGATATTCCCAAAAGCCCAGAGACACCAGAGACCCCCTCTCCCCCTCCCGCTTTGCACAGAGGGAAAGGGGAGAACCCGGGAGAAGCTGCTTGGAAGCAGCCAAAAGCCCTTGAGCATGCGCCCTTGACCTTCTCCCCTCCCTCCCCCTAACTCTCCCACTCGGGAAAGGGCAATGGGATCGTTATCCAGGATCCCTTCCGCCAGTGTCTGAGAAGCGTTAGCTCTCTGTTCAGTTTTTCCCTTCGTTTTTGAAGATCCTGGCGTTTCTGGCAGGGCCCTCAGGACGCTGTGTGATACACCAGGCAGGCTAATTAGCGAAAGAGGCAGTGATCGGGGGGGGGGGGGGGGGGGGGGGGGGGGAAATCCCTGTAAGAACATACTACATCTATATGTTCAAAGAATGGTTACTCAAGTTTCCTTTGTTGTCATGGTGTTTCTCGATATAGTGAGATACATAAGCCAAAAAAAAAAATCATTTCACCTTTTTTTTTTTTTTTTTTACCTTTATCGATAGCTCAAAAAGGTCATTATCCATTCCATTAAGCTTTATCTTTAATCGTTTAACATATGCATGTGTAATCTCTGGAAAGAAGAATTTGGAAAAAAAAAATTTGAAAGTGCTTTCATAATCAACTCCCGACTTTGAAAAATCATAGGAAACAACACATATTTTAAAGTAGTTTAAAAATACTGTTTGGCTCCCTCGCAGAAATTGGCATATTTATTCAGTCGGGTACATCGCACTGAAATCAATACAAAGGATTTCATACGATAGCTTAAAATAGAAGCGTATTAATAAAATCCTCATGATCTAAACTGCAAGTTTTCATCTTCATAACTTCCCTCTGGCCACGGGGAATTCTTCAGCCCTCCGAATATCTTACTTGGCAGGAAAGCTTATGAAGAGTATAACTATTAGGAAGACCCTGGCGAGTGGTGTCATATAGTTTTAGAGCAATGTCTTTCATTTAAAGAATTGGTTTGGAGTTCTTTGTCTCCAATGCAGTGTGCTGTGGTGTACACATACACACACACACACAAATGCATGCACACCTCGCCTAGGCACAGCAGGACCTGAAGCAGACTGGACCTAGGTAAGCTTGTCTTTGGAGAGACAGGTCAGAAATCTCTGAGGATCCTGAGAACATAAATCCCAGGGGGGTGGGGGTGGGGCCTAGGGGAACCAACTGAGAGGTGTGGCCTCCACGCCCAAGCCCTCCAGCCAGAAGATGAGGAGGCGAAGCTGCCCAATGTGATCCTTGTGGTTTAAAGGACTTTCCAGAGGAATAGCACTGGTGTGGGGAGTATCTGATGGCCCTGGCAAGCAGAGGGCTCTGCCCATGCTCCCTGAGGTCACTCCCTTGGGTGTCTACCCACTCACCTTTAAGCAATCTTTGAGCTGCTGGCTCCACATGGGCAATCAAAGCTAATCTAGGAGCCCACAGAGGGCCTCCTTTCTGAATCCGGAGGAAAAGGGCCACACGGCCAGGGTCAGTGTGGGCGCAGGGCAATTCCTGGGATGGGTACAAAGTATGCTGCTCCTGAGAATCCCACCAGCTCCCTTTGGTAGGCACGATACTGGGCACCCCATGCAAAGTGTCTGGGCACTTTGTTTCATTGTTCCCCACAGGGCGGCACTATAATCCCCCCCACTGCACGGGAGAGAAAAGGGAGGCGTTCAGACTTAAATATGTTCCCCAATGTCACAGAGCCAGTAAGCGTGGGAGCCTGCCTGCAGACATATTTTCTAGAATGATGTCCACCTCAACCAGGAAAGCTAGGGACATGGGCACGTGTTAATCCTCAGAAAGACACGCCTACGTGCTTGTGGGCGAACGGCTAGCTTCTAGCTTCGGGGGGCGAGCCACAGGACATAGCCTGGCCTTTTGTCTCCCAAACAAACCCATCTGCCTTTCCGACAGTGGCCAGGTTTTTCCCCACGTCCGACCATCCTGTCCTACAGTTTGTTGCCTTTTTGCACTGGAGGGAATGGAATCCTTCAGCCAAGACTCAGCCTTGTTTAATATGCAAACTCAGACACCCAGAGGCAGCTAGAGACTCGCATTTCCATCACTAATTACTTCTGCAGCTCCTTTCCAAGCCCCCCCCCCCCTTTTTGGAGGCTCTCTGCCTGCAGAATCTGAGATTTAGAGGAGCTCTCACTGTTGAAAACCCCTCGGAGACACCTAGAATGACAGAGGCGGTCATTCTACAGATGAGGAAGTAGGAACTTCAAAGGGGGGAGTGATGTTCCCAAGGTCATGGGTGCATCTTAGAGGTCATTTACTCCCAGCGCCTACATCAGTCTCTCTGCAAAGCAGCCCTAGGCAAGGGACCACGTCACAAGATGACCTGTCCCTCATCAGATCGCCTCCCAGTACCGTATTGAGCCAAAATGTGTCTCCCACCCAACGTCCCTGGTGCCATCCATCTAAACTCATCTTTGTTTATGGGATCTGACGGTTTCCGTCTGTCCCTCCCTCCCTACAATTTGCTGGAAGGATTTTATTTCACTCCTACGTCTATTCTGCATGGCTGAAGGCTCCGGGGGCTGCTTTCGCTTGTTTGTGGGCTGTTGTTGTTTAGCTTGGTATTCTTAAGATGCCTCTTTCCAAGTACCGTGAGAGTGTGCCGTTGGTGTGTTCGTCAGGCTTGGTAGTGGGCAAAGGGCAGCGTTTCTGAGAATAAGAACTGGCGCGAGTCACCAGTTCAACGGTGCGAAGGTGACCGTCACCCCGGTGTTGGTGTTCTTGCGGGGGTCGTTCCTGCTACACAGGGGGCCCTCAGTCCCCCAGAGCAGGGTGCTGACCAGAGCACTCCACTCCCCAGAGCTGGGAGCTGGCACAGCCGTGTGAGTATGGCGTGTGAGTTTGCGAGTGAGGGTAAGTGTCTGTGGGTGAGGAGTATGATGAGGGTGGGCATGTGTCTGCGAGTGACTGAATGTGTGCATGCGTGAGTGTGTGTGTGTGTGTGTGTGCGCGCGTGTGCGTGCGTGCGTGCGTGAGTGTGTCAGTGAATAGATGTGTGTGGGTGTGAGTGTATAGGCAGAGATGGTACAAAGACAAATTAAAAATACTGTATCAGTCAGGGTCCCAGCAGGAAACAGATGGCACATGCAAATTGGGTAATTTGAGGAGAGTTTAATGCAGGGAGTGTTGCTGAAATGTGGGCAGGGTGCAGGGATACCACAAAGGATCCTGCAGTGCTGGGGCCCGGGTCTGAAGGGATGAGGGCAAGAGGCTGTTACTGGAACCCGGAGACAGAGATAGGACACCGCAGCCTGAGGAGAACGAGGACCCAGCCACGCTTCCTCAGCAGCCAGCAGCCAGGCAGCAGCAGAGGCAGCCCAGGGCAGGGTGGGGAAGGAGGGGAGGAACACTGGTGTCCCCAGTACGGGGCCTACCAACTTTCCTCCGTGAATCACAGCCCTTTGGTAACTTTTGGAGGCCGCTAACTCTATTGCAGCCCCGAGGAAAGCACAGAAACACGCACCATTGATTGCCCAAGAAAAGTGCACGAATACACAGCCATGAGCAACGTTGCAGGCCGTTTCTTTTGTTAAAAGACACTTTATTTCTACAGATAGGATGCAAGTGCATCCTCAGGGTGAGAACCCTAAGACAAATGGATAGACAAAGTAATGGCCTGGAAACTGGCTTCACTCTGGCTGCTCTCTTGCATGGAATCAACATCCCACACAGTGTGGTCTGTTTCCTTCTCTGTATATTTATGCGGCATAGAATTCCGAGACTTTGAAGACCTTTGAAAGCCTATCCCGGGACCTCAGGTCAAGGCCCCTCTTGCAGCCTATTTCTGACAGGATTTGACAGTTTGCCATCCACCCGGCCTGCACCCCTCAGTAGGCAGAGAGAGATTTTGAAACTTGCCCAAGATTACAGAGCCCAAATAATAGGTTCATTAGGACTCAGACCCAGGAACCTGACCTATAAGCCATTGCTTCTAGCAAACCTCCCACCATCATTTTACTAACACACACACACACACATACACACACACACACACACACACACACACACAGAAAAAGAGGCAGCTTGAGGGGCAGCTTGAGGACTTAAACCCGGTAGTAACCGCTGGGATGTGGAGAGAGAAGCAGAACGGTGCACTCAGCAATGTCTGACTCCCGGGACTCCTGAGGGTCCCTGGGACAGCGTGGCTCCTAAGAGGTGCTGCCTGCCGCCTTGGCTCTCCTCCCCTGGTGTCTGCCGGCGCTCCGCTGCTCGCTGCTCCTCCTGCTGGAAGCGTTTGTGGCGCGTGTTCCATGTTGGAAATGTACCCGCAGCAGCTTTCACGAAGCTGAGACTTGGCCGCTGAGCTGCTTCCACACGGAAACGTGCGGATCCTCGAGCTCTTAGGCCAATCGCCAGAGACCAGATTGAAGCGTGCCCTCGGCTTGGATCATCCCTTCCGCAACCTGGGTTTTTCTCCTCCCGGTAGCCATGGGAGATGC